CGATTTTTTTTTTTTCGAACAAACCAGTGTTTCAGCTATCGAATTTTCAAGGTCGAATTCAGATTTATACTAAAATATTTTTTAATAGTTTTCTAAAATTGGGTTTCTTTTGGAGTGTTTCCAACAATTTTGCAATGTAATTTTGGTGTTTCCAAACATTTTTTTAAACTTTAATTGAAACGTCGTGGGTTGTTGCGAGAAATTCAACTTAACCGAAATTTTCTAGACTGAAATACCTTAATATAACCCAATATATAAAAATATGTTTATTACCGTAATTTATTCTTGGATGTAAATACTTGGCAGCTTTGACTCAGATTTTTATTTTCCTCCATATATAACCACTAAGGAATCTTCATCACAATGGATACTACAATTAAAAAAACAATCACAGGCGCACAGGTTACAAATATTTATTTTATCCAAAAAGTACGCACATACAGGTTATGTTAGGTAATTAGTCGACAGTTGAAACCGGAATACAACAGAATAATTGCTCACCGTTGCCTGCTAAGACTATACTCAAAAATTGATAATCTCTGTTATCTAATTAAAAAAGACTAGCATGTCATGGAAAGAACTCCCAATTGTGAGGTGTTTGATTTGGATTATAGCTGGGCCATCCTGGCCACGTTCAGGCGCATAGACACGCAGGATGATCTGGAGGCGTAGCGCATCTCCTGCAGCATCCCACCCCACTCTTTCTTTCCTTCATCATACCTGGAGGAAGCACAAAAGAACCAGCTAGTTACAATTATCCAGAGGGTAAGGAGAAGTTTAATAACATCTGCAGCCAGGGGTGCCGAAAGGCGGAGGGAAAGTTCCATTCTAAAGGCCCCTGAGCGGAAGGCGGCCTAGAAAATTTGCAAAATAACTGCATTGGTCTGGACTGGGGGGCCCAATATGATATGCCTGCATGGGGCCCAAAATCTCTAGCAACACTCAGTCTGTAGCAAGGGCATAACTTTGGGTTGAGTATTGGGGGGGTTGAGGTCTCCACCCATTTAGGAGGGTCCAGGGTTTGTATTAGAGTGACCATCCTAGGATAAATAGTTCCAACCAAAATAAAGACTTCCAGTTTTCTTCAGTGATTTCTCGTTACCGGCAGAAGAATTATTATACAATAATAATACAAAGATCTAGCATTGATAATTTTTTACAAGACCGTTAAGCTTACTGCCAGACATCGGTGACTTCGGTGGGGGTGCACTCTTTGTTCTCGCCCTCAACCATGGTGAACCCCCCCACTGCATACAGACTCCCCCCGCTGCTCACTAGGTTGACGGAGCTCCTTTCCTGAGGGAACTCCGTGAAGGCTTCCCACCTGAAAAGGGATAAGCACACAGGATTCCTATGAACAAATCTCACGAACTGGCTTACTCTCAAAACAAATAGATACTTTACATCTTTATAAAAGATGGGATTTATTGCTACTTATGGAACATTCTCCCATTAATTGTCAATTAAAAGTTAACTGTGAACTTTTAAATCTTAGGGATTAAAATGCAGAATTTTCGGATCATTTAATTCCAGCTATAGACACAACAGCAAATGATAACTGAACACATATGACAGAATCAGACATACTTGTTGGTTCCAAAGTCATAGATTTCAGATGAAGCTAAAAGACCTTCTTCATTGGCTCCTCCAGTAACTATGATTTTTCCTTTGTGCAAGACCGCTCCAAACATCGCCCTTGCCGTTTTCATACCAGCCACCTCCCTCCATTCTGACTTCTTGTGGTTGTAAACGAACATCTTGTTGATGAATTTGCTGTGTCACAGATGATACTTATGATTTTTTTTTGTCCATAGTTAAATCACACCTATTTGCAGACCTAAACATATTCAGATTAATTTTATATAGCTGTCATACAAAATGTACAGGTTTGCATGTACAGTGAACGAGAACACGGACGTCGCACCTATCTTCAGTCTGTCCTCCAATGCAGTATACCAGGTCATTGTAGGACACCACAGCATGGCCAAAGATGCATATTGGCAACCTCTTGGATGCATGCCACTTCATTTTCCTGAGCGATTTACCAAAGACAAAAAAAAGAAAATTTATGAACCTCTCAGAATGATTGCCGACATCACATAAGGTGTCACATCTGTGATCTCAGCCATACTCGATATCGTAACACATCACTGAGTCGAGAGCATCGTTGGTCTGGAGGTCTCTCCCGGCCACGGCAAAAAGGAGGCCTCCACACTCTCCTATGCCGAACAGACATCTGGGAGATGGCATCGCAGGAAGAGGAATCCATTCAGTACTCAGACTGTCCAACTGAAACAAAGATAGAACTTTCACATAACAGGTTCTTGCTTTGTTAGAAGCTGTGTAGCTCCTGCTCCAGTGCTGCTCCAGTGCTGCTCCAGTGCTGCTTACACTCGTACCTGGACATTCACTGGAAGCTCAGCCTGGCTGCACTGATGCCTAATGGACTCCTTGATTGCATGTATATTTGCAATGTGCTATTTGCCTCAATTCTATGTCGCTTTTACAAAAGCATCTTCTGAATATGTAAATGTACATAATGAAGATGATAAACATCTAATAACATGAAAGAAGGCATCCAATATGGCAGTGTTTCCCAACCCGGTCTTGAGGACCTGGAGGAAGCAAAAATGTAGAATATCTGGCAGGGAGCTAGGAGGGAGCAAAATGACAGACTGTCTGGGGGTCCCTGACAGTCCATGAATACTGCAGTAGGGGATTAAAAAGTAGTTTTTGGCGTAAATAATCATAACATTTCAAATGTCTATTCTGAGTTTAAGAATGATGTCATGATGATGCAATACACAAACATGGTGGATTACCTGGTAGAAGTAGCACTGCAGGGGGACATCCTTGTTCTCCTCATCCACAAACAGGCCCCCAAGGACATAGAGCTGGTTGTTCTTGGAGGTGAAACTGACATGGTTGCGTGGTATCTGCTCCGCCATGCTGGCCAGGAAGCACTCATTCTCATTGGCATCATAGGCCACAGCGGCTGTGTCGTTGATCATCAGGATCAGGTCCCGAACGTACATGCCGAGCCTGCGGACGTCATTCAGGTAGCCTGGCAGCTTCTTGTCTTGCTGTTCCCCTTCCCCGTTCTCTGTGCCCTCTGCAGACTCTCCCTTCTTTTCGTTCTCAGGAAGTTTCCCGGCAAAGGCATCTTTGATGACCTGGATTTTCTTCAAAAGTTCTGCGTCTGCCTTAATGATGTCATCCTTCTCCACTTTCTCCTTGAAATACTTTTCCGGCAGGAGTCGAAAGCGGATGTGCTCGAAGGCGTCATTCAAGGTTTTGGCCCGTGTCTCCCTGTTGCTCCTCACCCACCCCATCAGCGCCTCGAACACCACCTCCTCTCTCTCAACGTTCAGAACATCTCCACCGATGATCGCAAAGAGCTCATGGGGCGCCAGCTGGAGGAATTCCTCATCCTTAGCGACGATCTCGAAACGGTCTGCGATGTAATCTCGGGCAGCCACCGCCAGACGAGGGCAGCTGGTGACCAGGCCCAGCCTGAAGATGGCCAGGCAGTTAGCCAGAGACAGCTTCCTCTGTAAGTAATTCACACATGCTGTGAACACAGAGGGAATCTGGAAGCGGTTTGCCACAGCAAAAATGTCCTGCACGTTGTCATCCGTGAGTTCCAACTCTGCTGAATAGAGGTAGTTAATAATTATGTCCATGATTGTTGGGTCCATGTCCTCAATCACTACTTCCTTGCTGCTCTCCAATTCTTTGCCATCCTCAGTGAAGAAAAGATCTCGGAAGTAGGGGCTGCAGGCAGCCATGATAACTCTGTGGCATGGCAGGCTGCGGTCTCCTATTTTAAGAGTACAGTCCACCAGCCTGTTCTGGTGTAGTAGGTCCTTCAGGCCTTCCTGGAGGAGAGTGCTCTGGAACTGACGCAGATCTTCCTTCATGCTTTCTGGGTCCATTTTGCATGAAACGTGTCCTTTGCTATAAAGTCAAGGAGCGTTAGAGGCTAGAGGTCTTCTCAGCACACTGTTCCGGATGCGAAAGGCTGAGTAACATACAAAGCCTGGTGTGAAGCCCCTGCAATTTAATCCCATTTCTCTAAATTTAGACCAACCACCCCAGCCTATAGGAATTCAGACAAGCCAAATGGGAAAGCTGTCCCATCTCACGCAGCTGTCACAGACTGAAAGAAGCAACTGTAGGTCTTACTATGGAAGCTCAGCTTCAACACTATAACAACACTGGTGGCCTAAGAAATCATACAGAGCATTTTCTTCTTTTGCGGCATCTAGCCGCTAAGCTAACACCGCACTGGCAAACTAACTTTCAAACTTTGAATTGTGCCTGTGATGATATTGGATTTGGCCGTTTCCATCATTTTCACTGACTCGGTCACTTCGCTATAGCATGAAAATAGGACACGCCGGATTTCAAACAAACGGCAAAGCTAATATCCGAGAACTCTTAGGAGCAGGTAAGTGTTTGGCTCAAGAAATGACTGAGAAAGACAGGAAGTGAGCGTGTGAGGCTGGGGGTGGGTAAGAGGGCTATGTGTTAGTGAAACCATCATGCTTCTTAAAATAGCAATGACAAATGAGGAACAATTTACCTCCCCCAGCCAAAAAAACAATCTAGAATGAAATAATCACCATCTATCTTTACACTATTTACTAATACACACTCCTGAGCAAAAAACTCAAAAACTGCACAACATTAAGCCCCATTTTTTTGCCCAGTAGTATAATTTACATATCAGGTAAGTTGACCCTAATGTGCAATATCATTATTTTTTCTTTCAAGAGTTGACTTTTCTAGGAAATAAGGTCCAGTAAGGACTGATATAGATTCAAATTTTTTGGCATCTGCGTAATTTTAGTGGATTCTGGAAGTTCATGAAATTAATTTTATAGAGAAAGTACACAAAATACGAGAGAGCTAAATATTTGTTTAAAAATGTTTAATTCAATAATGAGAAAAAATCTAACGATTGTGAACATGGTAATGTTTTTCCTAAAACCAACACACTTAAATCTTCAGCCAACAAAGGCTGTATAATAATATTTTATGCCACTGTAGGGAATATTATTATTATTGATGTTTGTTTAGTAGACACTTTGTCCAAAGTGACATAAAGTTGAGAGCGCAGCCAGGCAGCGTTGTTGGGGCAGCTGGGGTTAAGGGCCTTGCTCAGAGCCCCAACTGTGATGGTAGTACTTTTCTAGTCACAGGATTTGCATCCACAACCTTCCATATATGGGCACAGATGCCTAACTCACAGAGGTACAGAGCACCGCCAGACACTGACTAAACATAGGGTGCCTAAAATGAGGCATGATAGGCTGACCAATGATGAGTTTAGTTTTACAATCAAATTAATTTTAGGCAGGTGTCTGATTATAAACCAGGTAGCTGAAATTAAGCAGAAATCATTATTTTGTTTGATAAGAAAAGACACAAGTTCCTTGGCCAAAAACATTTTTAAAGACCTTTATCACAAGATTAAGATTGTGGTTTTCAATACCACAACTAACTAATGACAAATGACTTACAAAATGACTGTGTATAATATATTACTGTGTATAATTCATTAACATAGATAAAATAATTTATATTATGTATTATATCACAAACAAACATGGGAGGATTCAATCCTTATTTTGCCTAAAATATCTCCTGTTTCTACTAAATATTAAACACATTTTATCTAACTAAACATTAAATATTAACTTATTACTTCCCAGAGACCTTGAAGTGTAAACCCCTCCTTCAGTTTCTCCACAGCTAAGCCAAGTTCCTCAGAGAAAACAGGCTCCCGGTCTTGTTGCTATTGAACAAAATCCAAAAAGCCAGTAATTTACTGTTGAATCCTTATAAACAAAGCCATTTGTGTCCAAGGACTCAAAGACGAAATAAGAATATTACCTTATCACCGTCTGCAAAGTATGCCTTAGGAAAGGAAAACGCCAGTATTAAAACAAGTGGGAATCTAACAATATTTACACTCAGTTATGTTCATAATGTTCAAATAACTGAATGGGATAAAACTGAGGTTGAAACAACTGTAGATTTCTATGTGTATAAATTTATTCTACTGCAGTTGCTAGTTAATGAGTTTCCTATATAAGTAAATTGTCAATAATGTGAGATTCCCCAATTAATACCGTAATGTTGTGTGATAGTAAGATAGCATGAAGTACTTAACACGTGGCTCAAATAGTGCCTGAACATTGCCCTCTTGTGGGTTAAAAAATGACAATGACACACCGCATACTCACCGTAAATGCATCCGTCTGCAGGTCAGGCTCAATCTCTATATCATCTGGAGGCTGCTCCACCGTCAGCTCCTCCAGTGGCTGGGGCTGGTAGTGCAAAGGCAAAATAAAAATGACATTAAGTGGCGATGGAGGTTTAATTCCTCAAGGTGCAGCATCACCTGCAATCAGGCACACACCTTCTCCTCCATCTCGTAGTGCACCCCAAAGATAGGGCTTGCAGAGTAAACCTTGTGTAAGGAGTTGACCTCCTTCACTGTACTCTGCAGTTTCTCCACAGGGTCGATCTTGAAGCCCAGAACATACCCTCCTGTCTGTGAAAATAGCCACACATACACGTGATGCAACTATATGGCTTCCTTCCTTCCTGACTGTGAATTCTAGTGTTGAGTCTAGATTTTCAACATACCACATGGTATTTCTGGACCATCAATGCGATGGCTCATGTACTTATGTCTCAGAACCCTGACTAGAGATTTCTCATATAGTGTTGAACCTTTTGCATTTTTTAAAAAACTAATCATTCGTATGATGAGAAAGACAAACAATCAAATTTACCTGCTGAGAGCTCTCTATCACTAATGCTAGTCCAAACTTTGAGTCTCTTATCTTGATGGAGCGCTTTGGGGATTAAAAAGGAACAAATTTGGCAAACAATGCATGCAGTGAATATACTGTTTGTTGTTCTGTGTAGTGACATTATTCAATTATAAAAGCTGATGTCAAAACAGACAATTCAAGGACAGTAGTGGAGGTAAGTTAATTACACAAATGACGTCAGATCAGCTAAGCAAGAGTATTTTTAGATTACTCAAAAGGAGGGCTCATGGGAGTTTGACTTACACAACAATGTTCTGAGGAGAAGAAAAAAATGATTGGTTCAGAGAGATAACCAATCAGATTGTACAGCAGGTGTGTCCAAGCAATTAGAGGAGGAGGGACCAACCAATCAGATGTCTCAGTGCTACTTCCTCTAATTGCTTGGATCCACCTTCTCTACAATCTGATTGGTTATCTTTCTGAATCAACCAGTGGTAGTTTAATGGTTAGGGACACGCACTTGTAATTGAAAAATTGCAGGTTTGAATCCCCGACCAGCAAGGCACCACTGAGGAACCCTGAGCAAGGTACCGCCCCCAAGCACTGCTCCCCCGGGTGCTGAATTAGCTGCCCCCTGCTATGTCACATTGTCACATATGGGTTAAATGCAGAGAACACATTTTGTTGTAGTGTGTCAACAATGACAATTCAATTCTTCTGCCCTCAGAATATACTTGTGTAAGTAAAACTCCCACGAGCAAAAGGATGGTGTTTCGAGAAGATCGTTCATACGTACTATCTGCAGGTATGGGATGCTGACGTTGAAGCTCTCATTCGTGTTTGCGTGCCACACAATTCGCACGTTTGTGACAAAGAACGTCCCCAAGTTACCCTGCGAGAGACGAGCTTTAAAGCATTTCTGCTGAATCACCATGATTCAAGCCGGGTAGCTTTACTCGCTATTAAAAATGGATGGGTAGCGTGTGTTGGCTAAACATTCTCTGCCTTAAGCCTCATCAAGGTTGACAGTATTTGGTAACACCAACCTGTCTTCCAATAAACATCTTACAAGTTATTAAAACACAAATGTGTAGTCAGATAAAAAAAACATATTCTACTTTTCCTCATGTTACTAAAAATTGTTGTAAAATTCTGTACAAATGCATAGTTCTTTGAGAGACAAGATATAAACCTTTTTTCCCTCCCAACACCAGCCGTGTTAAGGACTCTCCAGTGGTCACATCAACAGTCGAATGCCCCCAATTCAATGAATCTGCAGGATGCCTCAAAAGTCATGCATGCTTTCATGATGATTTTAAACCACACACTTATAATGCACCCACTGCATTTATAAGGTGTGGGGCTCAGTGGGTTAGGACACTGTATCTGTGATTGAAAAGTCACTGCTGATTGAAAAGTCTCTGGTTTGAATCACTGGGTAAGCAGTGATTTCACTGTAAGGCCCTTGAGCAAAGGCCCTTAACCCTCAGCTGCTCCAAGGACTATTTGCTAAATAATAATAACAATAATAATTTAAAAAGTAATGGATTGGTAAAGGATAGGAAAAGGAAAAAGTGGAAGTTAGTTACCCAAACATAAATATAAGCACCAAATAAGGACAATGGGTTTTCAAGATTTCACTAGTGGTACACGTGTGCTTTGCATAGCTATTTTCGGCATCCTCTGCAAGAAAACAGACATACCTGGTCACTGGATAAATTCCACACCCCGTTAATTTGGTCACACATCTGTTCTTGTGGGAAGAGTTTCAGCTGCTTGTTCTGAATAAGAGCCCCTCTTAGTTTTAGCTCACGGTACATTTTAGAGGTCTCATAAGCCCTCAAAAAACAAAACAAAAAGACAATCATAAACCACCCGAAAAGAATGTGAACAGAATCTGTAACTAAAATTTATTCAAAATAAGCAAATGTATTTCTGGCATGATCACCTCCCAGCTGTTCAACACTAAACAATAAGAAATATAAGCACAAATTTAACAGAATACCTGTGAACTGCAATGACAGACGTGAACAGTCTTGGGCTTCCAGGAACAACGTTAGTGAAAATGAACTCAAATCTGGTATTATTGCATTTTGTCAGGATGTAAAGAGCTTCTGTGGTCCCTCTGAGTTTCTGAAATAAAGTATCCAATCTTTTAGGCGCAACATACAGAAAACAATATTTTAACGAAAAGACATGCAAATTGACAATTATTTTAATCTGAAAAACATGTACTCACTGAGTTGGCAGTCCTTGTTGTGATGTTTATGACAGAATTGTATCCCACAGCTTAAAAATATGACAACAGTGTTCATAGTTTCACTTTAGACAAGAGAATGAGTACAATGAAATATCCAATACTTCCAGCAGAGGGTAACCATACTCCGCAAATCTTCTGGTCCAGGATGCGTAATAGACTGCTTAGAATGAGCAACACAAGAAACTGACGTATTCAAAACAGTGTACAAAACGAACTTACACAGGTTCACCCTCGGCAAAGCCAGGGAATGCCAGATGATTCTCAGATTGGTCACCAGCAGCCTACCTAGAAAGGATAATAGTACAATGTAGCCTACAGTATATAGGCCTAAGTAAAACGATTAGTTATTGCATTATACACGAACCAAAAGTTTTGTGGTATGTAATTTTCGTACAGTGGAAATGCAGTTATTTTTCTCTGCTAATGATATTGTAGGTTAGTTAACGGTTCAGGTTCAAGTTCCAATCTTACTGTTGTGACTACTTAATCTAACATACATCAAATCATACAATCTAATTAATAATATATATTTAAAAAAAATTAGTTTTTAAAGTTTAGTAATCACGGTCTTCGGTTCTATGTCCGCTAGGTTATAGCTGTATGTTACTGTTGTGTGCATTTGTTGTGTAAACTAGCGGACTAGGCTGTGATGGCTCGTTAGATCCGCGGAATGTACACAATGGCTCGCGCCTCTGCAGGTACCCCGGTCTCCGTTGTTCCCTTTGGTATCCTCAATGTTATCCAGGCAGTCTATCAGGACTTCACCGGCTCTCGTTTTCATATGCCTAAAAATCAAAATGGCAATGCAAACATCCAGCACCCTGAACGTGTATTACACACATGCATGCATAAATCATGCATACAATACCAGAACAGGTTTAGGGAGGAGAGGCATGACACCTGTTTTTACTACCAACGGAACACGACGTAAAATCAACCAATATTTAGAACGATGCGCATAAAGAAACAAGCTGACGCCTGACAGTATGATATGAAAAGCAAAGCTTACTGTGCTGTGATGTCAAACCTAACATCCCTGTCTTCCCAAATAGCGTCCAGCACAGCAGCCATGACTATCCGCGAGCGTCGGCTCCTCGCCCAGTATGGGGATGCAGGTCTACGTGCAATGCGATTTACCGCGTCTCTGGGTCACCGTGGTAACGTCTCAGAAAACTTATCACGTGCATGTTACGTAATACCGATGAAGAAATGAAGGTGTTCGGTGACGTAACCGTACCTACACTCACCCCCTGTTCAATCCTATGACGCCGTCCTCTGAGTGGGCACCGGCTTAGCAAACCGCCCCCCCCCCCAGCAAAGCTTCACCGCCGGCACCCTTTCGAGTATACGAAGTGAAATTAGGCGTGCCGAGGTTTGGGTTTGGCACTGGCAGTGGTTGCTGGCCAATAGGGGGCGCTAAAGCACCAGACCACTATAGTGGGTTTAAGTAATCAATTAACGACACATAACAAAAAGGTTGTCAGTATTCTTATTTATTAAAAAACAATCAAACTATAAACATTATCACGTTTACAAATACAAAATGAACAGTTGTTTTAGCATACTGCGTTCATTAAAAAATAGATACAAAACACTTATAATGAAGACATCAAATTTAGTGGTTAACCTGGTACCAAATGACGAACATGTGAAAGGCAATATCTACACCAATTTTTATTCACTACTTTGGCATATTAAAAATGTGCTTTTCAGACACATTTTAAAAAAGTTACATTCGATTCAAAGCACAATTTGCTATACAATATTACCCTTGTCAGGAAACAAAGAGTATTGAATATAAATAACTGCACGTTATCTTAACTGTGAAGTCTTGGATACAACACGGTCACACTGTTATATCTCATATAATCAAAACTGAACGGAAAACTAGAAAGGAAATGCAATTCTCATTGGAAAACAACAAAAATAATCTTGTGTTAAGCACATAAATATTCAGCATGTAAGATCTATTACATCAACCAAATCTGATTCAGGAGACGGTACGTCTCTGCCTGGCTCTTGTTTAAAGGTACAAAGAAAAAAATGTTTAATTGAGCATATTTTATGCTTACACAACCTTAAACATGTGTCCATATAGTAGTGTTAAGTTTATACGTTAATTCCGCATTCAACTGAATTATCTGTTGTGCTATAACAGAAATATAATTTTAGAGTAAATTGCAATAAACTGCATTCTTCTGAACTGATCTTCCTACTGTCAGATATAACGGTAATTAGTGTAATGAACGTTACTGTATAATTAAAATGTGACACACCTGAGGTGTGTGGACCCTCAATTTAAGCCTTATCAAAAGTATGCTTAACATATGAAACATTTCTTCCATGAAAATATACCCTGAGATTTGCCTATTTTCTTGAAGGCAACTAAATCAATCTAGCAATTTGTTTGTCATACACATGTACAAATTAAAGAACACTTTAACATGGCACGAATGTTCTATGAAGCGTCTTTTTTTCTTGTACATCTCTTCCAGTAACACGCTAAATAATACATAAAACAATGATGTGTCACGTGTTCTTTATTAATCGCTTCAGATCCAGGGATGCGAAGAACGCTTCTTCCTGAACACTATTTTAACTTCCTGTTGAAACAACAACACAAAGTTGAAAGCGGAAAAAAGGCATTAAGCCTTGTCAGGAAAATTTGCATCGTTTGCCAGGATCTCTCCGGGTCTCACCTGTTCTGAACTGCACACACGTGCTCTTGCACTCGGTCTCGGTGTCAAAGCGATTACCGTTCCCGCCGCAGCCTCCGTACCAGAACTGCGCGCAGGCGTTAGCCTGCTTGTCGTAGTACCAGCTGATGACATATTCGCGGCAGGCGCCCTGGTCTAATGTCAGGCTGCAGCGGGGATCTAGAGGGACTGGTTCTGATGGGGAAAATAGAATGTGAATCTGACGCATTTACCAACACTGACCAGTAAGCAGTAATGCTACACATCAATCATTCATTATAATTATTGCCAATTGCATTAAAATATGTCATAATGCAATACTGCATATGTAGCCTCTTGGTAGTAATCAGTAGTTAGGACCATTCCAAGGGCCCCTAAGTGACAGGGGCCCTATAATTGAATTGGTCTGAGGGCCTAACATGATGTGCTTCCATGAGGCCTAAAATATCTAGCGGTTCCCCTGGTCACACACATAATGTGGCATGTTAGAGATACCATTTCACCAAACAAGATGTGTACGGATTGCAGGAGGAAACCTAGTAACAAAAGTCATGCTGAGCTACTGACATCCTTAAAGAGTTTGGCTGTAAACAGTGTTTACCTTGAGGACGGGCTGGTGGTGGTGCAGGTCTGAACTGGATTGAGGTAGAGGATGAAGATGATGTCGATGATGATGTCGATGATGACGCTGATGATGAACCTTCGCCGCTGGCCACTGAGGTTTTCTTGATGGGAATGGCAGGTGAAGGACGTTCTACTGCCGTATCCAACACAGTCACACTGCCGGCTCCCCTTGCTGACGTGTCTATAGCTGTTACTTTTCTCTCTTCAACCTGTATAAGAACATTTACTCAGTCAGATGCTTGGTGTGACAATAAGGCCCCATTTGACTTGACTTGACTTTACTTGCTTATCATCTTATTTCAAGACAATATGGGTCCTTGTAATTAGACATGATTTCATCTTTGAGCAGCATTTATATTATGGGCAGACCTGTACACTGGATAGGTTGGGTTTGATGGACGATGGATTGTCTCCCCTCTCTGGGTTCTGGGTCTGTCCCCCTCCTTGGACTTGACTCTTGAAGGGATTCGTATGTCCGTTGTTCACATTTATATTGCTCCCATGGTGGTGGATGCCATAGCCATTGTTGCCATAGCCATTGTTACCATAGCCATTGTTGCCATAGCCATTGTTGCCATAGATACCGTTTCCATAGCCATTCATGACACGGTTATAGACCAGAGCACCATTTTCATCCTCGCAGAACTGGCTGACAAGCTTTGACTCCAGAGCTGAGACAAAGGATTCACAAGAACAATTTGTTATTTTTAGTGATAGTCAAGCAAAAGCCTAAACCTGCTATGTATTCATACATCTTAGCTTTGCCTAGTTATTGAGATAAAGCAAAACCTGCAAAACAAGTAATACAATATTGGTGAGCTTGAATATCACCTGGCAGGGTGTTGAAGTCATCGATAAGGTACATGTGCTCGCTGTCGGGGTCGGAGGCGATCAGGTTGAGTTCTCGTAAGAACTCCGCCTGCGTGGGGTCGGTGCTGTTGACGATGCCCAGCGCGTACATCTCAATGTTGGCAGCGTGCGCTTCCCTCACAGCGATGTCCAGCTTGACTGGCTCCCGCTTGTCCGTCTGTCCGTCTGTGATGACGATGGCCACCTTCCTGACACCGGTGCGGGCGCTGTAGAAGGCTTCCTGCGTGGCCCTGCGGATGGCGGTGCCCGTGTACGTGCCCTCACCCATGTAAGGCATCTTCCTGATGGCTTGTTTAACATCCTGCTTGGTCATGTAGCGAGCCAAGTTGAACTCCAGGTGAATCTCCAGGCTGTACAGCACCAGTCCGATCCTGGTGGCGTTGCGACCCACAGTGACGCGGTCCACCAGGGCTGTGACGAAGTCTTTGATGATCTCGAAGTTTTCTGGTCCCACGCTCTCTGAGCTGTCGATGACGAACACCAGCTCCATTGGCCTCTCTTTGCATCTAATGCCACAACCTGGACACATTAAGAAAACCATGAATTCAGTTCCGTTTTACGACATCTACACTCAGTTCACTGCAAATACTGCAAACACTGTGAATATTTTTTCCATCATAAATATCAAGAAAGAAAAAACTCACCGCAGATCTCTTTTATCATCTTAATGATGTCTTCTCTCTGTCAATAAATTTGCCAACAAGTTAGACAGGATACTGGTGTGCTGCTTCATAAAGTAAATGCTGACTATGTCTGAACTTACTGTGAGCCCAGTCTCTCCTTTCACTCCAGGGTTTCCCTGAAATGAAAAACTGTAGTTATTATTTTGTCTTTTACAAGTAATACAGAAGGAATAGAATATGTCAGCTCCACATTATGTATTAACTCAACAATAACAACAAACTAAAACATTTTCATTAGAAAAGTGTAGGTACATTTTCAGGTGTGCATTTCCCGAAGGCTTTGTGATGCTAAGTAACTTATCTCATGCTTAAGATCAGTTGTTGATTAATGAGTGTTTCTCAAAACCCTTTGCAGCTGAAGTAGTTTGTAACCTCATTCATAAATTTACGAGTGATCTGATCCACTTGTTATTTTCTGGGATTCTTTACTTGAACTTTTGCCTGCTATTCTGTCACAGAGACACAGAATCACATGATTTTTTTTTTGGAAATGTAACAATAATGTTATGATACTAATCACAATGATGCTGATGATGACGATAATAGTAACAATAATAATAGGTTAATGTTGCAATATACAATTACAATGTAGGCAATAAATTTGATACATTTTGTCGAGTTATTACATAATGCGGTGATGTTACACAATGTGTTGTTACAAACCTAAATAAAAAAGGGAGATTTATTCATAATCCCCATCCATTTTTACTCTATCAGAATAAATAAAATGGGTTACCATTGTACACCATGTGATTTTGAGCACAGTATAAATGGAAAAGAAGCTTACTGGTGCACCAGATACTCCAGGGTCTCCAATATCACCTTTTACGCCCTTTAGTCCTCTCTCTCCCTGCAAGCCACGGTCACCCTGTGGAGATCAGGCATAGGCCGGTGTGACGTTCCAGGTCACTGTGTCCCTGTTCTCTGAGCCAAAATGAGGCGAAAAGGGCATGGAGGCGGCTCTGATTTGTGGACACTGTCTGACCTTGACCCCTGGAAGTCCTTCTCCTGAAGGTCCCCTGGGTCCTGTCATACCTTGCGACCCCTGTTCTCCCTGAAATTTTCAGGAAGATAAGAGACTGAGTGCATCGGTTACCCAACGACACCACATCTGAAGATGACGTCTGCGTGTAGGACAAGCCTAACCTACCTTGGGTCCCTGCAGACCCTCCCCTGGTGGTCCCAATGGTCCGGGAGATCCTTGTCTTCCCATAATACCCTGGAGTGGAAAAGCAGCATTTTTAACAGGGAGATCAGTTACATTGTGTTTACAAGCTAGAATTATGTAGTTCCTTATTCTGCCAGTGGACCTGGTTTGGTGTAGAAAGTTACCTTCATGCCAGATACTTAGAAGGT